GATGATGGAGGTGAATGGGTGTGGGGGGGAGGGAGGGGGGGGGGGGGGGGGGGGGGGGTCATGTGATTTCAATTGAAATAAAATGTCAATATGATTCCTGCGTCTCCGTCTCTGTCCCAGATATGCCTTCACTCCTCTGGTGGATGAGGACAGTGAGGAAGAGGAGGAGAAGGAGCCGATGATGAACGAGGCCTTTGGTAGGAGCCTCGTTTCCTTTCCTGTGTCCTTGTCTCTTCACTCCTGAGCTGATTGAACATGAGCTCAGTGAACTGTAGTTTGTCTCTAAACTCTGACATTTTCTCTTTTGTGTGTGTTCTTCCAGAGGGAATGAAGATGAGGGGGAAAAATGAGTATAATGGATCTGCCAAAGCCAACAAAGTGGTGAGGGCTTCAGCAAACGCTTCACAAAAACTGCTATACTATTCTTCACCACAGGGTGGCAGCAGTGACATTATTATTGGTCAGTTTCTGTCTGACAAACAACATAAAACAACACACACTAAAAACAGACAATGAAGTTTGGGAAACATCATAAAAGTCTCATTAAACTCTTCTTCTTCGACTCCTTGGCCATTCTGTCAACTCTCCTCCTGTGGTTTTTGCAGGATGAGGATCTGAAGTGGGTGGAGGAGAACATCCCATCATCCATGGCTGACGTGTGAGTCACCAGTGCAGTAAAAACCTAACTCCTCTCTCTTGTTGGATGTCATGTATTTTGACGTGAAACTCTTTCTCTTTACAGAGCACTGCCCCCCCTGCTGGACTCTGATGAGGTCAGACATGTGGTTTTTTTATTATTATTACTTTAGTTCACTCTAGAACATAGAAACTGGTGGAGTGCTGCAGTTAGCTCACATTGAGATGGTTGTCACATGGGTTATTAATATTGTCATTACATTATATTGTGCTGGTGATCGAAGGGTTGCTGGTTTAAATCCACTGTTTCCAGTCTTAAACACCCTGGGAATTTGAGAGCAGTTACATGCTGGGTGAATTTTGATAACGGGATTATCAAGATAAAGCACCAGCAGGGGGCAGCAAACAGCAGGCAGAGCACGAGTTCTTAAATTCCGTGTAAGAAATGAGTCATCACAGTTTAGTAACTTCCTCCGTTTTGATCAGTTGATGAATTGAAATCTTCAACAGTTTTTGATTCAAATTCAGTTTTCAGTCCATTTCTCTCCACCGTCTTGTCCACTGTGCTTTAATGACTTGATTTCAGCCCACCTCTAGTGAAAGGGATTTTAAATGTGTGTTTGTGCATCTGCTGACCTGTCAACAACCACCTCAGTGTCTACTGTCAAATCAGCAGGGCTCAGGCTGCTGGTCACATGATCGTCAGTTATCTGACTGATGGACAACCAGGACTTATCTGTTCTGGTTTCCTTCTTCACTACAATGGACATTCAGAGCCGTGGTCCAACCCGTGGCACTCACTCATCTGTTTGTGTTCTGCTGCAGGAGACCATGACCACAAAGTTTGAGATGTCCAAGATGGAATGAGTCTACGGTGGACTCAGAGGAGGAGCGGCAGTGAGACAGATGAAGGGTCGGACGGAGGATGCGGGTTGAAGTCACATTGACGGGGTTGACAGTTGATGCTTTAATCCATGAAGGTTGGAGCTGTGACGTCCATGGTTGTAGAAACACTGGGAGGAGACCTGGACCAGAGACACACGGATGCCTTTTATGTTTTCTTTTTATTGTTTGTTTATATTTATGTCTCACTCTCTTTACAAATATACTGAAAGTATATGTGTGTGTGTGTGTGTGTGTGTGTAGAGCAGATGGTTGAACACACGTCTTGATGTAGACCAGGGGATTTTTTGCTTCACTTCACTCTTTCATATAAAACATTGATTTTATTTTTGCGTGGAGAGAGTTTCCTTCAGACCTTCAGAGCAGGAGGACTCAAGTCAGGAAGAAGACGAAAAATCCTGGAGAAGAATGTTTGTCTTTCATCAAAGTGTTGATTGTGTATAAAAATGTCTCCGTTTCAGACATTAAACTGTTCACAGTCAGAAACATTGATGAAAACTTTAGCACGCTGGTGTCGGGTCAATGATTTATGTGAAGTTGTTTCTGACATGGTTTACTGAAGTGGTGGACAAACAATGGTGGTGGACATTAAGGACAGACGAGACAGTGGTGGTCTGTGTGGACATTAAAGACATCTCCCTGGTTCAAACATTTCTGTTCACTGCTCAATGCTGCCCCCAAGATTTCCTGTGGTACTGCTCTGTGGAGTTGGTGTTCACACCAAAATCAAACAAACGTTTTTAAAAAAATGTCAAACAATTTAGGGCTGGATTTTGTTTTTAATTAAATGTTTAGCTTCAGACTCTGTTTCATCTGATCCAAGCTGCTGTCTTCAGCTTTGAAAGGTTAAAGGTCACAACACAGAGGTCCAAACACTGACCCGTGGACCGTCTGGTGTCAGGAAATTCTCCTCAGGTCCTGATTTCAAGAGAACAACAGCTTCAGAAAAGCTACCGTTGTGTAACTGCAGTTGTGAAGTAATTCTAAAGTCCAAAGTGTTATTGTTGTAAATCAGGTTGGGATTATTTCTTGAGATTGAAAATAATCTCCATAAACAAAAGGTTTTGTACACAAGGCTCCAATCCTCTTCATTCATGAAGAATTTCATTGTGTGTGTGTGTGTGTGTGTCAGCAGCTGCTGTTATTACCTCATAATCCTCATACAGTACGTTATAATCCATCTGTTCCTGCGATGGAGGAGGAGTTCAGAGTGGACTGGACCTGTGGAGACGTCAGCTGATCTGGGACGGACCCATGTCTCCGTCACTGACAACAGTCTTTGTTACACACTCAAACAGTCACCATGGAAAAGCATCCGTTTTATCAATATGTCTGTGTGTGTGTGTGTGTGTGTGTGTGTGTGTGTGTAGTGGCATTACAGCTGTAATAACATAATCCCACAGATTTGGCCTGGCAGACAGTATGCTGCAGATTCAACTGACAGCAGGGAATTATCAACCTGCAGCACAGCGGGACATGAGTTCACGTCTCAGAGTCTCTGCCACACAGAGACACAAAGGAGACCTGACGAAAAGGATTTCTCCAGCCTCGTCCAATCACTGTTCACTTTGTCCACATCCAGGATGAGAGCTGAGAAATGTTTCCTTTGAACCGACGATGTGTGTGTATGTCTGTGTGTGTGTGTGTCGTCGCTCTTTTCTTACTGAGCATCAGAAAAGATCCCGCTGCCGTCGTCAGTGTCATTGTAAAGGTCAGGGGTGGTGTTTCAGTAAAGGTCAGCAGACGCACAAACACACACAAACACAGGCTAGAGAACCTGCTTCCTTATCTGTGTGTGTGCATGTGTGTGTATCACGCATGTCAAGAAGGGATCTGCCGCTGAGAGCTGATTGGTCTGCTTGTGGTAACAGATGTTGTTCTCATTGGCTGATTTACATCACAATAAGAGCTGTGATAGGCTGACGTGGGGACAACGGCCGTGTCATTGGACAACAATGACAACATGAAGACTCCGAGCACTGAGGCGGAATACTGGGGTCAGTGTGTGTGTGTGTGTGTGTGTGTATTTTTTCTTCTAACTCTTCAGGACCTGATTCGGTCACAGGAACCAGATGATGGTAGAACCTCTGCAGTTGGACCTCCAGGTCAACGTCAGGCTCTACTTCTTCTGTGAGCTGCAGCACACACACAGGTTTGACATGTTTCTGTGGGGATGTCAGGGTGTGGTTCCTGCTCACCTCTCTGACCTGATCCAGTTCCATCTTCATCCCCGTGGTCTACACTTCTTCACATGTTTCTGTTCCTCAGAAAATGAGGCTGAAACTGAAGGAGTCCAGATAAAAAAATAAAACCTTTAAACATCAAACTCTGGTGGTACTCCCTGTGTGTTTGTCTGCTGTCTGGAGGTACTGCTGGATGATGATGATGATGATGATGATGATGATGATGATGATGATGATGAGGATGATGATGGTCTGTCAGGAGTGACCAAAGTTGTCGGTCTACAAAAACAAGCACAAACATAGCTACGCCCAACACCTCCAGTCTTTTTAAAGATAACATTAATAAAACAAGGATTTTAAACCCAGTGTAGCTGTAGCGTCACCTACAGGATCTGCCTGACGTGCACACGTTATCTGCTGTTTGACAGAGGACAGAGATGAAAACAGATGTTTATGTTGTTAACTAATGAATATTTAGTCAATATAAAACACAGTTCTCTAACTTTACTACAACCTCAGGCTTCATTTACATTTCACTAGAACACGTCGCTGTGCGTGCGTGCGTTCTTACACTGAGACATGACCATAAGTTAATCATTAAACCTTATGTTTGGCAGCACCGACGTGACTGACTGACTGACGTGGACACAGCTGTTGGATCAGGAGGTTAATCATTTGAATAAGAACAAATAAATGTGCGTGTCGGTCAGAGGGGCGTGGCCTGCCGTCTCCCTGCAGCAGGTAGGTTCAGGTGACGTGCTGCCGATCACAGGCTGGTTTCCTGCTTCAGTCCCAGGTGGACGTCATTGCAGCTGATTCTTGGTCTTCTTCTTCTTCTACCACTACGTCTTCTCCTTCTCTAACTAATATCTGGTCTCCTTGGACCACGGACGTGTCGGTTAATTACTGTGTTTCCCTCCACTGTGGATTAATCGGTATTTTGATGCGGTTTCCTAAGATGAGCTGATCATCTGCTGCAGGTGCCTTCCACAGGTAATCACTCATCATACCTGTGTGTGTGTGTGTGTGTGTGTGTGTGTTTTGCTTTAACTAAATTCCATTCATGTTTCCGTCGTTTTAAGCCCAGTCTTGTCACTGTAAACATGTCGCCTGACGTCGGACTGTGACGCCGTCATTAAAATTCAGTGACTTTGTGTGGGTCTCCGCGGGTGTGTGTTAGAGAGAGAGAGAGAGACAGACACAGATAGACAGAGAGACAGAGAGAGAGGGAGAGAGAGACAGACAGAGACAGACAGACAGACAGACAGACAGAGAGAGTGAGAGAGTGAGAGAGAGAGAGTGAGTACGTTTGTGAGATTGTGTGTGTGAGTCATTGTCAGTCACAGGTTTGTGTGTCTCAGTGTATCCAATGTACTGTGTGTGTGTGTGTGTGTGTGTACGTTTGTGTATCTACACCTGTTTGTTTGTTGGTGTGCTTGTACTTTGCATGTGTGGTCCTGTTTCCATGGTTACCAACACAGGTATTTATCCCACTGCAGGTTCATGTTGAAGCTGCAGATTTAACACTCAGTGTGTGTGTGTGTGTGTGATTGTGTGTGTGTGTGTGTCACAGACACTGACAACACTGTCGTAGTCGGTTGTTCTGACTGTGGATTGTAGAGAAGATGGATTGACGTCTGACTGTTGACGTAGAAGCAGCTGATTTCTAAAGATGGCTCTGAAGTTACATCAACATGAGTCTAAACCTGGCTGTGTGTGTGTGTGTGTGACCTGTCCTGGTTCTTGTGCGGTGGGTGACGGCTGGTGATAGTACAGTAGTGACTGTGACTGTTGGATGTTGTGAGTGTGTTGTGGAGGGTGGAGCAGTGTTCATGTCCCTTCATGTTCTCCTCCCAGCCTGTGTTTACTCTTCTTCAGGGCCGAGCCTCAGTGTTGAAACAGTGTCTCTGCCCGGCGACAACACGCTAACGCTAACACCCGGTCTTTGTGACAAACGGACTCTCTGACACGCCTTAGGAGGAGAAAGGGTTAAATAGGACTCTCCCTGAGATCCTGCAGCAGTTCTGTGTCTTCAGAACTGGACTGGTCTCAGTGGGGACATGTGCTGATGTCTGTTTATTGTCAGCGTTTACAGACCACCCTTGTGTTGTAACCTAAACCACAGCCCCATCCCAGCAGGTGGAATGAGAGTTGTCATCTGATGAGTCTGGCCTCAGTGTAGGAGCAGCAGGTTCTCTGTCACACCTGACGACAACAGTGTTGTGTTCCATTGACACTGTAGTGTGAACTGTACAGAGACACTGTAGAGTGGACCAACATTCCTTTAGTCTTGAGTCTCAGTTCAGTCCTGTTTGGTTTCAGTGTTTGAGTTTGGTAGTTCATACAGTCTGAGTGAACATTATTTTACTAAAACATTTTTAATTTGAATTGAATTAATTTGAATTCTTTATTAAGAACCTAAAGATCTGCTTCCCAAAGTGGGGGTCATGGCCTCCTTATGGGACACACTATTGTGGAGGGGCCAGGGAAGTGCAGCAGGGTAAATTTATTATTATTATTATTGTTGTCACTCTAAATTTAGGTATTTTGGTGCTTTGGTGCAGCCTGAGGCCCAGGATTTGAACCACAATCAGCCATCATTTCCACTGTCAAAGTCACATGTTTGTAGTTTGAGTCCCTGAGTCTGTGGTTTTCCTGTTTGTGGTAAGAATGTAAATATAAAATGACCAACGGAATTTAAAGTGAAGGTCCACCAGTTTAACTGGTTGGAACTCTTTTACCCAGAGGTTAGGTGTCACTGGTATCACTGTGGAGGGATGTAGCTTATAAGTGGCTTATTTGCAAGTAAACTGAAAAATAAAAAAAATTGTGAGACAAGTATTACTGACACCTAGTGGTTCTACCTTTCACAGTAAAACATTTCAACAACAGAAAGGAACAGATGCAAACTCACAGTGAGGGCAGGAACCCAGCTGACGCTCACAGACAAATACTTTCTGTCAGACTCTGAGATGCAGGTGGAGCAGGTTCATCACAGGACCTCCTCCAACTACTGCTCAATGGTTCTGTCTCCTCTGACCACATGTAGTGTGGTCTAGCCCATGTGGACCTCACAGACTGCAGCCCATGACGTGAGACAGCGTTCAGTCTGTCTCTGTTTGGTCTCATTGGGTCAGACGGCGCTCCGTGTGGTGGACGTTGGGGTGCACACAAATCGTCCATGAAGCAGATAAAGGAAACGGGCTGTTTAATGGTGTCATAACGTTTATGGGCTGCAGAGGAGACGTTAACCTGCAGACGGTAGTCAGATAAGGGGGGAGGAGAAGGGGGAGGGGGTGATCTGAGACATAATGCAGCAGAATAAAAACCTTTGACAACAAAATAAAACACAGGACTGTAAATCAGTGGAATCAACTTAAAGCCTCTGCTTCCTCTCATCACCCCCCCGCCCCCCCACATATCTCAGACTCCCACTCCCACTACTTAATTGTGGTCCAGTACCAAACCATACATGGCCTGATACTGGTCCCCGGCCCTGTGGTTGATACTGATTTACAGTATATAGAAGTAGTGTTTCCTGACGGTGAACTAACGTCTGAAACTGATCAGGCTCAAGGCTCCTGGTCTTCACTGAGACTCTGGTCTTGGTCTGTGGTCTGCCCCCCCCACCCCCCGACCCCTCCCTCCTGTGGGAACAGACGTGTGGATGACAGGAGCAGCTCAGTTTTCTGTTAAACACCAGTGTGAGTACACGGCTGTGACACAGTTACAGTGTAGAAGCATCAACTGACCTCACCTGCCTCAGGTTTCAGCCTGACTGTAACCGTCCAATCAGAGTCCACCTCCCCAGAGCTCACAGCAACAATGAGAGACCAACCATGGAGAATGAAACCACTTCAATAAAAGACCAAGACCCCCCCCCAGGACAGAGGTAGACTCCACACCCTGACTGGTTTGTGACTCTAACAAAGATGAACTCTTCTGCGGGTCAGCCGTCTCCGCAGAACCACCGTCTGCTCTTTAACACCCGTCTCTACAGAGACATATTTTCAAATCTGGGTCAGAGGATTAAGATCTGGAGGGAAGAGACTTTAGAAATGTTCTGGTCCCAAAGTGCCTGGAACCTAATTAGTTCTAATCACTGAGCTCAGGACAGAGGTAGACTCCACACCCTGACTGGTTTGTGACTCTAACAAAGATGAACTCTTCTGCGGGTCAGCCGTCTCCGCAGAACCACCGTCTGCTCTTTAACACCCGTCTCTACAGAGACATATTTTCAAATCTGGGTCAGAGGATTAAGATCTGGAGGGAAGAGACTTTAGAAATGTTCTGGTCCCAAAGTGCCTGGAACCTAATTAGTTCTAATCACTGAGCTCACGATCCAGACCTATTTGTCTGACTTTCCTCTACCCATCTGTCTGAGGCCTCAAACCTAAAAAATGGTATTAATTAGTTGGTCCACATGTCCCACCTGGACCAGTACTGGACCATGGGTACCAGACCATAAGATAAATAAAACATTTGATTGTTAATGTGAAATATGTGTTATTTGAAAATGAGAGGATTATTGGACTCAGGTGAAAAGTCTTTTCAAAATAAGTCTTTGTTAAGACTAGAACTTCTTCACAAAGGTGAAAAGGTTACAGAGCAGACAGGACAGCAGCCTTCTGCTTCAAAATAAAAGCCACAGCCACTTAACCCTGCTTTTTACAGTAAATGAAAAAACAGATTATTTAGAGAGAGAAAGTTTTGTTTAATGTTGGTCTTTAAACATTCATGTGTTTCTCTTTAAACATGACTGTGGTGAGAAAAAGAGTTTAGAACAAAAGTAAAGAAACTGTAAAATTAGACTCTGAGAATAAATGTCTAAAATGCACTTTGTGTTGTTTTGTTTCCAGGCTACAAAAGGCAGCATCAAGTTTCACTGACACAAACACCCCTCAGCCCCCCCCCCCCCCCCCCCCCCCCCACACACACACACACACACACACAGCTGGGATCTGAAATCACCTGCAGGAGTTTCAGTGTGAACTGTTCTTTTCTCCCATTGGCCAATTATAATAAAAAGACAAACAGTACTAGTACCAGCAGTAGAACCAGTAACAGCAGCATGTCCTAATGTCTCTCCTTCACCAGGAGGAGGGTCGTCTCCTCATCATCTCCATTTGCCCATCAATGCAGCCTGTTTTGTCAACTTTATGTCATAAAGATGTTTTTTCTTTCTTCATTTAGTTTCTCGTGCAGTTTGTAAAATATTCTCCAATGCTTGAACAGGTGTCACCCTCCTCCCCCACTTTTCTCTCCTCCTCTCTTTTCTGTGACTGTTCTACTCTTTCTGAGAAGAAAAGAAAAGCTTTTTGTTTCTTGCTTTGCTTTTGTGCATACGGGACAATAGATCCACTCTGAGGGCAGGGAGGGGGAGGTGGAGGTGAGGGAGAGGGAGGAGGAGGAGGAGGAGGAAGAGAAGAATGTGTTGGATGGACAAAGACAGGGAAAGAATAGTGGGAACAAAAAGACTAATTCAGGTTGGGGTTGATCCTGCCCTCACCCAGTCACATGGTACCAGGTCACGGAAAAACCTTTTATTTTGAAAATATTTTGAAATCTCTCCTGACATAAAACACCTCTGGATGTTGATGTGGTGTTTACTTCAGATGATGGTTTTTTTTTTTTTTTTTTTTTTTTAGAAATCAGTTCCTGTTGAGTCTCTCCAAACTATATACCGACTGTTGGTGTTTTTAAAGGCAGTTTCAGGACTTTAACCTGACTGTTAATTGATTTCCTCTGCAGCCTTCTAACCTCTTATCTCTGCGTACTCATTTGGATCTCTTAGTTTGGGCTCTTATATTTATATTTATTTATTTATTCATCTATTTATTTACTGTTGCTTTTATCCATTTCCTGTTGGCTTTTTTACTGTTTTAACCTTTATCTGTACAGCACTTTGTGCTACTGTATGAAAAGTACTATATATATATATATATAAACAGTTTATTTAAATTTAAAGACAAACACACATACACTGAATGAGAAGTAATAACCTTTAAATCAATTTGTTCCTCTCTGAGCTGCAGCTGATGACTCACAGTGCCCCCCCCCACCCCCCTGCTCTCTCCTTCCCTATCTACTGTCCAATGACAATGACAATTTTCCTTTCTTTTTTTTTGTTTTTAAATGATTCTGTTTTAAAACACAATTCTTCAGAATGTGTTTTTCTTCTGTTGTGTTATTATTAGAGATGTGCAGATGGTGGCGCCATGTTTTCACTCGGCTGCAATGAGGGCAGAAACGATGCAGAATGAGGAGAAAGAAGAATATATAAAAGAATAGCTTTGATTGAATCACTGGCCTAGAGTGGAGCCAGGACTCTCTCTCTCTCTCTCTCTCTCTCTGTGTGTGTGTGTGTCCAGTTGTGTAAACTTAAATGAAAGTGTTGTTAGAAGATGCTAGGTGACATAAAACACCTTGACCAACCACATCTCTGACCCCGTGTCTCCACAGGTGAAGCTGAGGTGATGTCAGAATGGCTGCAGTCAGACTCCGTCAGAGAAGATGTTCCAACTCTTCACACTGACAGACCTGTCTCACCTCCAGAGGGCGTGAGAGGCATGGAGTCGTCTGTCAGTGGGTTCGATTCCCAGGTTGTTTTCACAGGATCCATCCTGGAGTCCACAGGAGGAAACACAGAGGAAACAGACGAAGAAGAAGACCTGATGAGATGTGGGAGGTGAGGGTCCTCCATCAGGGATGTTTAACCTGAACATCGGGTTTAATAAAACCCGACATTTAACCTGATGATAACATTTAAAAGATACAAACTGAAACAGCGTGGATAGGTGGCACTGGCTGCTGCTGCTGTAGCTGCTGCTGC